TTTTTTGGGTACAAGCATAGAAGCTCAGGGCTTCATACTTGCTAGGCAAGTGGATCTATGGCTTACACCACATTTCCAAATCTTACCACATCTTACCTGTGTAAAGACGAGGAAACAGAGGCACAGAGGTAATGTAAGTTTCTGGAAACCCCACAAGCTGGAATGAAGCTCTAGATATCCCCCCCACCCCCCCCACCCCCGCCAAGAGCCAAGAGTGGAGTTGTGTAGAGCACTACCCTTGAGCACAAAAGCACAAGGACAGCACCCAGAACATGAGTTCAAGCCCCAGGTTTGGCACAAATAATGAATTAAAAATAAACCTAATTTGAATATGGCACAGGACATCAACTGGAATTTTTCCACAGCAAATGTACAGCCTCATGAAACATCACAAGTCATTAGGAAAAGGCCAAACCACAGGGTCTCATTCCTTTACATCTACTAGGATAGCTGTTATAAAGCAAGCAGAAGCAAGTGGAGCTGTGGCTCAAGTGTCACACTGTTAGCCGTCAGCAAAAAGCTCAGGAAGAGGGCTTCCACCCTAGGTTCAAGCCCAAGATCAGCACACATGAAAAATCAAATAAAAGGGCCTGGGAAGGTGGCTCAGTGGCAGAGAGCTTGCCTTGCATGCTCAAGGCCCTGGGTTCGATTCCTCAGCACCACATAAGCAAAAAGAAAAAATCCGGAAGTGGTGCTGTGGCTCAAGTGGTAGAGTGCTAGCCTTGAGCTGAAGAGCTGAGGGACAGCGCCCAGGCCCAGAGTTCAGGCCCCACGACCGGACCCCCCCCCCAAAAAAAAGAAAAACCAAATAAAACAGAAATTTGATGTTGGTAGAAACTGAAAAACATGGAACCCTAGTTTCTTGTTAATTTTTTATTTAGGTTGTTTTGTTTGGCAATAGTATGATTTGAACTCAGGACCACATTAGGCAGAGCCCCACCTTTTTTTTGGCTTTTGAGTTATTTTTCAGATCTTTTTCAGTTATTGCGGTAGTTTTCCTCAGAGTGGATTTGGACTCCAGTCCTCTACTTCTGTCTCCTGCTTAGCTGGGACTACAGCTGAGAGACACCAAGTCATCCTAGGCCATTATTCCATTTCAGCAAGAAGCAGCTAGATATCGACAATAATTCTTTTGAAAGAAATTGGTGGGTAAAATTGAGAGGGAGGAAAATATAAAAGGACCCAACATCTAAATACATTCACATGTGAGAATTTAGCTCATGACTTAACCAGGATGCTTCCAGTTACTTGAGTTTTTCAAAGGCAGCATTTTTCTCTTCTTTCTCACTCTCCTATCCCTCCACCCACACACCTACCAACTTGCCATGCCCTAGGAGAGGAAATTCAGGATGATTCTCATACCTTCAGTCAAGGTTACCACACTCCTCTCCTTATCTTGCTTTCCAAGGTATTGAAGGAACATTTAGGACGATGACTACATCTCTGGAGACTGCTGGTTAACACATTATGAAATAAACAGGCCCAAGAACACCATTAAGCCGGAACTTCATGCCTCAGCATTAAAATCCATCAGGATGTCCATGCTCCTCGGTGTGTCCATAAAAGCCTCCTTCTTCCCCTACCCACAAGGACTGCTCTTCTTTCTCAGGCAATAGCTCAAGTAGGTCTCATTTTGCCTGAAAATTTATAAACCTTTATTTCCTTTACTCTAAGACACTAATCTCACTGACATTGAATTGACATTGAATTCAGGGAACTGAATTTCCAATAACATGGTAGAATTGGGAGTTGCAGACAGGGGTCATCTTGAGACTAAAAAGCAAAGTGAACAACACAAAATCCAGAGTAAACTCTAAATTTTCAAAAACTGTTAACTATATGGACTGTAAGCAGTGATCTCCAAAGAAACAGTTTATGTCTCAGTTCAAGAGAAAGGCACAGGAAATGGATGTGAGTATGGCTCTGACAGGTTGAGCAGGTGAATTTGGAGGTAGGAATCTAGAGGGTCCAAGAACCAAGGACTTGCTGAGCTAGTGGCAGGGGTAGGGCTTTGTGACACATCACTCCTCCCCCTTTGTGACTTACTAGAAAACCAGGTCTTTGTGATATAGGCCTTCATTTACTATATATTGCCAAAGAAACTCCCAGAGCTCAGTTGCTCAAGAGCAATAGTGCGATTCAGATGATGGAGAATCTTCTCTTGTCACTGAAAAGCGTTGCTATACCATGGCTGAGCCCGGAACTCGCCACCTTTGCAATGGATATGATCCTTGCCATTGTGGGTGGTGTGGGGCTCTACCTCCTGCTACTGCTACTTCCCTGCTTCAAGGAAAATCCATCCTCACCAACACCTGAGAGAAAGAACAAACTGACTCAGGTAAGATCTCTAAGGACAGACCACCCAAAAATAGGTTTCTATATCTATATCTATACACACACACATTGGAATTTTACTTATCAGTTAGAGTGATATTGTAGCATCTGTAAAGAAATGGAAGACTTGGGAAAATTAAGTGAATTAAGTCAGTCCCAGAGAGACAAAAGATCCATGTTTTCCTTTATATGTGGAAGCTAGATTTAGCTTATATACTCACAAATGTGGGTATTATGTATATGTACACAAATGTATTGACTGAGAGCTTGTTTGGAGGTTCTAGCAAGGGAGCGCAGCTACTCGTATACCCTTGACCGAAGACCCGTCCTCTGTCGGGGATGGTCGTCCTCTTCGACCGAGTGCGCAGCTTCGGGAGGGACGCACATGGAGTGGTGAGGGAGGAAGGGGATACCTGCCTAGCCAGCCAGATCAGCTGAAACAACCCTGGAGATCAATGGGGTGATGGATGTCGCAGCCAGATCGCCCTCACATCCATGTATTGACTGAGATATGGTAGAGTCAAAGGAGATCTCAATGTGGAATTCATTAGAAAACCAAAAATCCAAGTTCAGTAAAATAAAACAGGAAATGAGTACTTGACAGGGTGGGGAGGGGTCAAAGGGAAAGGGGGTAGTCAGGGGAGAAGGGGAAATGTAGATAAGAATCCAATGTTATAATCTGACAGTAAGAAGGGAAAGGGGTGAGTGGGAGACGAAAGGGAGACACTGTGGTACAGATTAAGAGTGATCAAGATACATGATATTCACAAACTGCCTTGTGAAATGGCAACTCCTGTGTACAACTACTTAATGATAATTTAGAATGGCAACTCCTGTGTACAACTACTTGATAATTTTTTAAATGGTTCTTTTGTTTACTGATGTTTTCACTTCTCCAAAACAAGTAACAAGGCTTCTTGAGGGAAAATTTTAGGCACTATCAGCACAGGGCACAATGTCAGTAGCATAAGGTAGTATTCTGAGCTCTCAGAACAGCTGTGTGGTGTGCAGCAAGTACCAGGGTTAATTCAAACCCTGAAACTCAGCAACCAAGGACTGAGGTCCTGAGAGCTGAGGACTTGAACACTCAATCCTGTGTCACAGCAGGTGCCTGAAAACTGCACTTTCCCCAGTGTTAGGCTGATTAGAGGGCTGTTCAAAGCCCATGTCAACCTCCCATCAGAGGCTAAAGTCACCTTTGGACTCAGGAAGGAAAAGCCAACCTGGAAGATGAGAGGCACCTGGAAATCAGGGTCTTGGTCCTGAGAACAGAAAAAGCACTGAGGTGAACTTTGCTGTCTATCTCATATGAGAAAAACAAGCCACACTAACTGTGAAGAAAGGAAATGCAGGGACACAGGTGAAGACATCATTTTATCCAGAAACACCAAATATCTTAAACTTGTCTAGGGAAAAGAAAAAAGTAGAGGTCTAAGTCACATTTTTCTCATCTCTCAGTATCCTGTGGAGAAAAGAGGCCAGATCAAGTGCAGGAAGAAACGTGCTGCTCTGAAAGGTAGGCTCCGCACTTTCTCCCAAGGGGATTTGATCTCGGTCTCTGTCAGCAAGAGCCAGGCCACCAAGTATTTCAGTGTGTAAAACCTTAGGAGAGTCCTGGGAAAGAAACCAGAACTGGAGACACTTCTCAGGTTCTCTGCGTGGAATGAAGCTGTGACATGCATCATAAGAAATGGGAGGGGCTGAGAGGCTGTGAGGTCACACTGATGATGTGGATGTGTGTCACACAGGGGGAGAGGCTGAGAGGCTGTGAGGTCACACTGATGATGTGGATGTGTGTCACACGGGGAGGAGCTGAGAGGCTGTGAGGTCACACTGATGATGTGGATGTGTGTCATACAGGGGGAGGGGCTGAGAGGCTGTGAGGTCACACTGATGATGTGGATGTGTGTCACACAGAAGGAGGGGCTGAGAGGCTGTGAGGTCACACTGATGATGTGGAGGTGTGTCACACAGGGGGAGGGGCTGAGAGGCTGTGAAGTCACACTGATGATGTGGATGTGTTGTCACACAGGGGGAGGGGCTGAGAGGCTGTGAGGTCACACTGATGATGTGGAGGTGTGTCACACAGGGGGAGGGGCTGAGAGGCTGTGAGGTAACACTGACTTGATGAGGAGCTGTGAACTTCAAGCCCACATGTGGCCCAATTCAATTCCCTAAAAACTGTATTAGCAATGAGATGTCATTTCTCCCAGTCCCCCAAGAGGCTGTTCAGGTTATGGAGGTTTGCAGGGCAGGTGGTCCCTTGTAAATAAAGCAGCACTACCCCTCTATATGCCCTCTTAGTACTGGTAGCCATCTTGCAGCCATGAATACAGATCTGGGATCCAATGTGATCTTCCATGTTCTTTAATAGATGTTTCCTTCAGCCTCCTGTAGGTTCCAGAGGCCCTCCCTTATCTGCCCTAACCACCATCTGTTTCTAGTTTGCAGAGTGATTCGGGAAGAGCTTGAGGAGATACATGACTTAGCTTCCCTCCTGAGTAGGTAAGGTTTTCCACATGTCCCTGTGCCTGCATTTCTATCCCAGGGAATGGAATTGTCTTGGGGTTGAGGGAGACTTCAGGTTGGCCTGGAATGTGGCTGAAGCCACAGGATGTAGAAAAGAAAGGGCTGTGTAAATGTCAGGGTGTGGTTCTGTGGGTGCCATGGACAGCAGGTAAATACCCTTGCCTATACTGGGACTGTTTGTTGCTGAATGAAGTTTGTCTCCTGTCTCCTACAGTACCCCAGGGAAACTCGATGACACTGGAAGCTTTCAGCATTTCTTAAAAGGAGATGCCTTAGGTGAAGTTTTCAACTCAGAATCTGCTACAGCCCACCCGTCACTGAGGGACTCTGAGGAGGACACTTTCTCCAGCACTGTGTCCCTGAAGGCTTCCCCATCTCCTTCATTCCAGGGCTTGCAGCCTCTGGCCTCTACCTTGTCACCAGTCCACATGGGCTCCTCAGTTTCTGTTGAGTCACACACATCCCAGAGTGTGTGTCAGCCTCCGGAGCCGTCGATTGCTCTAGGAGAAGGGTCTTTTCCCTGTTCTCATTTTCCTCCACCTGTGGCCTGCACTCCACCCAGGCACGACTCACACTTGGGTCTTCCCCCATGTGACATCAGGGAAGTCCCTCCAGACACCACCCCACAGAGCTCTCCAACCAACAGCTCTAGGGTGCCTTCTCCTATTCCAGCCCTCAACTCTGATCTTCTGGATTTGCCAGCCAGAGTGATTAGTAAGAGAGAAAAGCTGAAATCAGCTTGTCAGGAGAAAGAACACCCTCTGGATTGTCAGGGGAACATGATGAAGTCACTGGGCAGTGCACAAGACACTGCCATCCCTCAGCCCCTCTGGAACACCGAGGGAAAACCACAGCAGCTTCCTGATTCTCAGGAGCTGTTCTTCCCCATGGTCTTGCAGAAATGCTGCCAACTGTTCTGGGGCCTTCCCTTCCTGCACAGCGAGTCCCTGGTGGCTCCTGTCCAAATGTCTGGTCATCCACTAGACTTACCTTCTGTTTTATTCAATAGTTTCTCACACTTAGTGCCGGTACAAGTCCAAGCTAACGTACCTCCACCATACTTTGTACAGCAGCCCTTACTGCATCATTTGGTCAAATCACAACCCTTCACTCCAACCTTAACCTGGCCCCAGCCTTCTCCACTGGCTGAGATCCAGGCCTATGCCCATGGCATGTTCTCTACACCAAACTTATCCTGTCCATCACCTCCAGTGAGGTCCTGTACTATCCCACCTGTTATTCAACAGCTAGAACATCATTTCGAGAAGAAACACCTAGAATGTCGTAGAATTTTATCTTCTGTGGTTGAAGAGTCTCACAAAACCTTTAGTCAAGATCAGGGCCCCTGTAACCAGAGAGGCTTTAGCAACCAATCCAGTGATTTGATAAGCCTTGAGATGAGGAAAAAGCTGGAATATCACTTCCAACAGAGGGTCCTACAGTACCTCTGTAAAACAAATGGCAAGATCCAGCTGTCCCCTAAGAATTTCACAGGGACAAATCAGACAGACCACAAATATGAGTCTTTACAGAACTCTACAACTATAGATTATTGCTACCGGAATATTCAGAAAACAACCTCAGAATGCCCAGTATCCCAGGGATGGAAGAACTCTAGAAAGGATTTTATAAAGGCCAAAACACAGAGCAAAGTAGAAAGTGACTTGATGAGACCAAGTAGTGACTCAGGATATTTTCCCCCAACTCATTCAAATGAGAACTGTCTAGGAGAAACCCCAATAGCCCATCTCATCACTAAATGGGAGAAGATCAGTAGGGACAAGGTCCCTATGCATGTTAGTCATTCCCGGGGCATGAAAGTTCATGCTTTGGCCCCCCTTGAAAACTCCAACTCTAGCAAGAACACTGGTGGAGAACCACCCTTAAATACCAGGGAAACCTGCAAGAGCTCCTCCCAGGAGGTTTCCCACATTGATGCTGCCACTCGACAGCTGCTAGATGTGCATATCAAGAAGCTTTGGGCAAAGCACCAGTGGGGCTTGTGCCTAAAGGTTCTCAAACTTATAAAACTCCTTACTCTGAAAAAGGCTCCCTCTGTGTCAACTTCACAGGGAGCTTCTCCCTACATGGCCTGTAGTAACTTCAAGGCCTATCACCCAGTGAAGGAGGGTGCATGCCGGAGAGAAGCCCTTCCCAAAGAACAAAAGAGCAAAAAGAGAGAAAAAAGTGAAGGTCATGCCTTACAACCTTCTCAACCACTTTTACCACCTGAAACCCCGAGGGGAACACAGTATAATCATATCTGTGGTCCCTTGGACGCGTCTCCTACTAGAGAGGAAGGAAGACTGCTTTCTGAGACTCAATCTTGTATCCTAGTAGGACGAAACTGGCACCATAACATTGTGCCAGGATCAGAGGAAAGCAGTTTAGAATTAACTAAAAGCCCAGAAATGGGCATGTTTGTGACACATGAGAAAGAAAACCTCTGCCACAGTGTAACCATCCGAGAGGTCTTTGTTCCACCCAAATCTGTGTACACAGATCATGTCAGGGAAATGGCAGAGGATGAAGAGAAACAGCCCACTATCATCGATTTCAATAACTTGAACCTCAGAAATTTAGAACTGAGGACCACTGAAACACCATTACCCTCCAGAATTTCAGTTTCCAACTACCCACTTGATTCATGCCTTAAAGAACAGGCAGGGTCAACCAGCACAAGCGAAAGCACCCTTTTTGATGATATCCTAAAGGACTGCAATGCTGACCCATTCCTGCAAGGTGGTGCCCCCGAGATGCTTATTGCTGACGACATGTTTGCTTCCCAGAGTTCTCTGACTAGCTCACAGAACCTTTCGGGAAGCAGCATATCCACTTTCTATGAGCGACGCTCTCCCTTGCCAAAGGGAGTGCAAATCATGAAGCAGCAAGAACCTAAGACATCTAAACTCCAGCAGCCATGGTACAGCAAAATTTTTCATGGGCATAATGAGACACAGAGCTGTGAGAGGCCCAAAGCTACAACACAGAAGGCAAAGCCAGCAGGAATGAGGCCCTCACAAGGCTGGAAGCTGAACTCTCCTGCCCAGGTCAGGAAAACAAGAACTGTGAGGAAGAACTCCAGCCTACCTGTGTCAGAGAAAGCACAGCATCCCCCAGAGAGTCAGTTCGGAAACCGAATAAAGAAGTTTTTTATGTATATTTTTAATACAAAAGACAGTCAGGCAGACTCACTGCCAAATTCAAAAATCCAATCAGCCAATAGCAAGAACCATGACTTAATGACAAGTAGAATCCAAGACGTTAGAGGGCCTGAAACCCAGACACTCGAAAACACCATTGGGCAAATCCTAGAAGAAGAAATTCACCTTAGGCCTTCTGCCTCCAACAAAACTTTCCACAAAGAATTTCAAGCCCTCACAGATAGACATTCCCACTCCCACATGGCTCCTCCTTACCAAGAAGGGGGTCAAGTGAAGACCAGCAGGGTCTCATTTCCCCAAACCAGCCCCACTGGCCATAGCCGTCCTCTCAATGACAGAAGTGTGTCAAACCATAACACTGGGACAGGCTTGCTTCCCAGAAAGCCTATGTCTCTACTCAGCCATGCCTACCAGCATAGGCCAATGGAGACAAATGTCCCAGGACAGCACATCTATTGCCCACGGCACTGTCCTCAGGGTGGGTTAGGCAGTCATGCATATTATGCTTATCATGTACTTCCTTGTGAGCCTCATTTTTGTGAGGACTAACTCCAGTCCATGCAAAGTATATCTGCTTTTTGTGAATGAGTACAATCTATGTCTCCCCCTCAAATGCATATTGCTTAATACAGTCTTTGTGTGTCATGAGATGTAGTGGCTTCTCTTTGTGCCTTCTGCTGGGGTAGGGATGGGCAGTCTGTGGTCTTCCTCAAAGAAGCTTCTAGAAGTGATGGGCACATGCCATGCCATTGAAGACTCACCCTCGATCCCTCATTTCACCTATCGTGTCCATTTAATCACTACAAAAACTTCACAAAGCCTTTTGGGTTTGTAAGAATAAGGAAGCCTGGGAAGACAGCTTACTAGGATGTTCAACCTAATGAACTTGGTTCGGTTGGAACATCATCTGTTGTGCTTGCTATTCAGCTAAGACAATGTTGACTAGCAAAGCCTAAGTTTGTCTTATATCTGCCATTAACACTTCTCTGGGAATCTTCACAGAAGCTGTCTCAGGCACTGGATGATAGGGGTCTGCAGGGAAGGCAATGATGCCATTCATGTTTAGTGATCCTTGGTGCTGTTGGGTCACTGGTTTGAGTTGTATTGAATTCCAGAAAGCATAGAAGCAGATCCACCCCTTCTCCAGAATGTTGGCAGTTGACTAATGAGTTATTGAGGATTTTCCGAGTTAGTTGCTAAAGCCTTTCGTTGTTGCGTTTGTTGGAATATAGAATCCTAATCAGGGATGGAGAATAGTGGAGTTGGTTTGGGAGAAAGTATGGGTCATGGGCCTTGTCCTGACCTGAGCCACTTTGGGGGGGGGAAGATTTTGTCTAAATTCAGTTTAATTCATCATAATTAAAAGCTCTACCTGGATAGTCTCTATTATTGGTGGTGGTGGATGTGGGGCTTGTACTCTGGGTCTGGGCAATGTCCCTGAGCTTTATTTGCTCTAAGTTAGCATTCTACCACTTTGAGCAAGAGCACCACTTTCAATTTTGTGAGTCTTTTTGAGACTTTCCTGCTTGGACTGCCTTTGAACAGTGATCCTTAGATCTCAAGCTTGGGAGTCAGTTGGTTTGCAGGCAGGAGCCCCAGGTGCCAGCAATGTACCTGCATAATGTTTAAAGCTCTATCAGCCAGAAGCTGAACTGGGAATATGTTACAGGAAAGAAGTTTGAGTTGTTTCTTCTATGGACTCAGGCAGTCTACACCATAAACTGCACAGAGAGCCTAGGCCCAGGACAGGTAGGTACATTTCTGCAACACTTGGTTTTCACATAAATCAATATACTATTTTGAATTAAGCAGTGACAGTACAAATTCTGATGATCCCTGCTGACCTACCCAAAAAGAGGATATGTTTAGTCGGGTCTGGATATAGACATAAGCTTATAATCCCAGGAAAAATGTATAGCTGGTGTTGAAAATGTCAGACCATCCCTTTCTGAAGGTTGGTGACAAAACTCAGATTGTGGGTTTTTTTTTTTGGTCCATGGGGCTTGAACTCTGGGCCTGGGCACTGTCCCTGAGCTCTTCAGCTCAAGGCAAGTGCTCTACCTCTTGAGCCAAAGCACCACTTTTGGTTTTCTAGTGGTTTATTGGAGATAAAAGTCTCACAGACTTTTCTGCTGGGCCTGGCTTTGAACCATGATCCTCAGATCTCAGTCTCCTGAGTAGCTAGGATTACAGGTGTGAGCCACTGGTGCCTGGCTTTTTTTTTTTTATCATGGACCTTCTGATGCTGGGGAAGGAATGTGAGAGGATCTGAACAGAGGACATTCTACTTCCATCATATGACTCCACATCAACATCTGTCCAAGCTTGTTGTAGTGTATCTCCTTCCAAGAGTTGCTATCATTTCAGACAAGCTTTGATATTCAATAAGTTATATCAATATTGAAGAGCCCATGGGCACATTCTACAGGAATCTTGTTACCTTTGTCCTCGTAACATCCATAATATATCTGAAGGACCCTTTGGTTAAATAGAAACAATACTGGCTTAAAATAGATCACTGTATGCTGAAAATAAACTATACAACTTGTGGGTGAGTATGGGGAGGGAAAACAATTGTTTAAAAGAAATATACTATTTTTTTATTGTGAAAATACCAGACAGAGGTGTTACAATTACATGGGCAAAGGAATGAGTACATTTCTTATCAAGCATTGTTGCCTCCTCTTTTGTTTCCCCTTCCCATCCCTTCCCATCTCCCCTCACCCTGCCCCCGGCCAGCCAAAGTTGTAAAGTTCGTTTTCAACATAGTTATCTGACATTTGTATCGAATAACCCTCTGTACCTCACCTTTATAATGAAATAACATTAAATGACACAAAGAAAAGAAAACAGATCATCATTTGCCCCCTTTTGGTCCTAAAACCTTTTTGGAAGGCAAAATAATTCAGAGCATGAAGCACACACCTATCAGGATTAATTATGATTCTAAGAACAAATATAAGGAAATTTTATTGTCATAAGATTTGCATCAAAAATGAGAGTAAATATCTAAATTAATATTTTAAGGTTTTCATTAATATTAAATTACCCGTGGCGTTTCAACAAATGCTATTAATGCGCTGGTCAAATACACACACACACACACACACACACACACACACACACACACCACTTCACTATAATCCCCCTTTTATATCTTTGGCCTTAATGGTTTGATTTTGTTTCTCCTATTTTCCACAAATGAGAGAAAAAATTGTGATATTTGTTTTGTGGGGATGGCTGATTTCACCCAACACGAACATCTCCAGGTCTATGCATTTTTTAGTAAATTAGTTCATTTCATTCTTAATGGCCAAGTAGTGGATATTTTCATTATCTGTTTTTCAAACAAAGTAAGATGGCAAATACATGAAAAACTGTTCAACATTCTTAGGCATAAAGAAGATACAAATCAAAATTACAACAAGAATGGTTATCAAGAAAACCAATAAGAGCTGGGCACCAGTGGCTCAGGCCTGTAATCCTAGCTACTCAGAAGGCTGAGATCTGAGGGTCATGGTTCGAAGCCAGCTGGGGCAGAAAAGTCCATGAGAGATTTAAAAAGCTGGAAGTGGCACTGTGGTTCAAGTGCCAGATGACTATCCTTTAGCAGTGAATCTCAGGGACAGTGCCCAAGCTCTGATTTCAAGCCCCAGGATCAACACACAAACACACACACACACACACACACACACACACACACACACACACACACAAACAAATACTAGTGAGGATGCAGAAGGAACAGAACTGTTGGGAACTGATGAGAATGTAAACTAGTCTATTGAAATTAGTTTGGAGGCTCATGCCTGTAATCCTAGCTACTCAGGAAGCTGAGATCTAAGGATCACGGTTCAAAGCCATCCTGGGCAGAAAAGTCCGTGAAACACTTATCTCCAATTAACCAACAGAAAACCAGAAGTGGTGCTGTGGCTCAAGTGGTAGAGTTCTAGCCTTGACCTGAAGAGCTGAGGGACAGCGCCCAGGCCCAGAATTCAAGTCCCATAACCGGAAAAAAAAAGAAATTCCTTTGGAGTTTTCTCAGAAACCAAAACCAAACATCCCAAATAATCCTTCTATACCACTCTGGGAACATACCTCCCTCCTCAAAATAAATCAAAGTTAGCTTACAATGGAGACATCTGTATAACCATGTTTTGAGGTGCATGATGAGCAATAGCCAAATCATCAAACCTCTCCCAAGTTTTACAAAGCAATTCCTTGATTAAGAAACATTGAATTTTATATCGTGTGCTATTTGGCCATGTGCACATAGAAAATAGACTCCTATTTAGTATCTTAAAAGCAAAGGTAAATATTCTTTTTTATGTCATCCCTTTCATTATTCTCCATCATCGCTCCGAACCCCATTTCTTGTTTTTTTTTTTTTTTTTTTTTGGT